AATCTATTTTATTTCATTTTATTTTTTCATCAATTAGTATTTGATACATATATTATTATGTTTGTAAATAAGTATCACAAATATATGTATTTATATGTAGAATTTTCTTGATTCACTTATTGTATTTATTTATTTCAATCTATTTTTCTTGTTTTCGTATTATTTCTCGTATTATCTCCCAAATAATATTTATCATATATCTATATTTGGTATATAATATATCTGAAGATTTATTTATTAGCTGCTCCCCACTGAAACAGAAAACATAGCGATTTGTTATATATGCATTGATAAGTTATTCTTTTCTTAAGAAGATCAGCACACATTCAATGTTCGATGGCGTTGATTCATCAAATGATCATATATATATATATATATATATATATATATATATATATATTCCAATCATCATTAATAGATTAATAGAATACATGTTCTTCACTCGAGAAAATTTCATAACAACGTTGGAGACTCTTTCATTTTTTTTGTGATTGGATGTTTATGACTCTTTAAAAAATCGATTATTGCCAAATCCACCTATTCAACACCGTTTGATGACTCACACGAAAGTTGAATGATTCACCCTGAATAATGAAAAAAAACTCACACAGAAAGTCTGGGCTTGGTCCTTCAGACTGTCTTTCACCCTTTCACTATGAATAACGAACGATGACGATTCAAGATGTAATTGTGACAATTACGTATGCTCACGTCAATGGAAACTCATAGTGATTCAATTCCAACCGAAGGATTGATGGTGTTGTCCAGAAATGCTTGAAACAAAGTTTCTATATGTGTTTACGTTCATTAGTTTATTTTCTATGGAAAAGAATGATTTTTTTCAAGGTTAACAATTTTAACATTGAAAGAATTGACTGAACATCTCCAATGTAGTGAAAATGTGCGTCTGCTATGTGTTATTAATGCAAACTGTAGAAAATAAATCTTTATTTTCTTCAGTTTGCATAAAGATGCAAATTGAAAAAATTAAAAGTAAAATTGATGCAAATCTCACCTGGACTGACAGATTATTTTTGTTCAATCAATATTCGTCAAACAATGTTCCCATCATAATGAACAAATAATAGATACGTGAATTCGTTGAATAGTTCACTTCACAATATGTTATTTCATTCCCAAAGATTCATCCACTGAATTCGTTTATGAGAAATGAATGAGATCACCACACTAACGACGGACTGTTCTTGCTAGGTTATGGTGGAATTGATGTACCATTCGAATCGGAGTAAAAACACATGGGAATGAATTTCATTTCCATGTAACGTGTCGTTCACAGGGAGTTCTCTCCACACATCAAAAAAACTTCTGGTTGTGGTCGGGGGGAAATGACGCATAAATCACAACACTATATAGTTGCTGTAATCATTTATTAGTTGAATATAAACAATTATAATTTGTTATCATCAAATCAAACTTATTGAAAAACTCTCCTGTTTTTTGAATTATCATTTATTGGTTGACAAACAATTAGAATTTTTCCATCCAACAAAGTAAAAAATGTTCTTAATTTTTAAATTTTAAATTTTAGTTTTTTAAATCATGGGTGCGCAATTATGGCTTTTCAATATCGTTAATAAAGATCCACATCAACACACAGTTTTAGTATCTCAAGTAACTCGAAGTGAAACCTAAAGATTGATTTAATGTTTTGTTTTGTAAAACAGGATAAAAGACAGAGTAACGGATAACTATTCCGGTCCCATTACGATCATATCGCTGTAAGTTCTTGAAACCCGAGTGTTCCCTGAGTTTTTTAAACAACGAAAGTGCAATTCAATCAATAGGTTTAACAATGTTTACATCATCGGAAACTTCGTGGAAGACAATTTCAATTTAGGCTACATGACTTTCCCTTACATACAACTTATCTGTGATATATATGTATGA